AGTGTCAATTGGGTCAAACTTGTAATTTATAATGTGACTTATTTAAGGGACCATATTGATAGGGATTCTTATCTTTTTTGGTACTACTTAGAATCTCAGATATTTGAGAAAATAAGAAAATAGGGACTTAAGTTGTCGATAGGGTAAAAAATATACAAAAGCTTCTTTAAAAAATTTTGAAAGTTAGAAAAAGTCGATCCATTCACTATGAACCGCTAAGCATCCATGACCGAATGGTTAAGCACTTAACTCATAATTGGTGAATTTGTAGGTTCAATTCCTACTGATGCACACCAATGAGACCATGCAATAAGTCTATTGGAATTAGCTATGTATCAATGGAATCTCCTCATCCATACATAACATGGTAGTTTTTTTTAACTTATAAAGAAATTGGAAGTGGATTTAAAGTGAGGATGAAGTTTGGAAGCAAGAATCACCTTTCAAGGCTTTACATGTATAATTCATTCATCTCCTTTATTTAAATTCGATCTTGTACTTGGGGTTTTCTAAAATTCGATATTTATAATGTTTAGGGGCTTGGAAATAGATCATTAACTTGGTTTTAATTATGTGTTCATGAATCTGCTCTCATATCACCATTATATTTTTTTGAGTTGGACCTTAAATGTCATTTTGAAGCTCTAAATCCTAACAATGGAGACTCTAACCATGAACTCCATAGAAAGTACCACAACTTAAAGATGATCTACCACTATCATTGAGATTGAGGGATTGATGGTTTAGTTTTGGCCTGTAGGAAAGGTTGCTTGGGGAACCATAAATTTGTGCATGGACTTGAGGAAGACCTCTTAACCTTCGACTTCAAAGAGAGAGCCATAAATTTGTGATGGGATATTGAGAAAGTTTCAAATGTATAGCTAAGATCGTATAGGAACCAGTAAGAGTTGTCTAGATCATAAATAAGGTGAAAAATCGCAGATGGTTGATCACAAGAAGATATGAATTGGAGGCCATATTTAAAAACCAAGAGAGCCTTTTTGAAGTTGAGGCCAGGTGTATCTCGGTCTTGAGACCGAATACTTTAGCCATAAATTCTTTAAAAATGATAGTTGGAGAAGGATGAGGACATATTGTTCATTTTCTTTCCAGGAATGAAAAGTAAGAGTAATGGTGGTTTTCCATTAGATTCAGTATGGTGGTGGGTGGTGACAAGACAATGCCAATATGGTCAATAAGTTATTGATAAGAAACTAACAAACGTATTTCATTTCTCCGTAGAAGGTAGTTGTAAGAGAATAATTTAATTGTGATCATATGGAGAAGAGTGAACAGAAGAAGGGCGGTGTCATGACTATCGAGAAAGGCTATAAGGGAGAGAGGAAATCGATGACGATGAACAAAATAAAAGAGATATCGATTTTAAACTGATACCATGCACAGTTTTGGAAAAGTCATCACACATATGGAGAATATCTTATTAACAATATATAAATGTACAAGAGCTTCATAATATGGAAAAGATAATTACATAACATAAATACATAATAATTTCCATCTACATTGTATCATTAATATCAAGCCAGCCGTCAAGCTATATTAGTTACTTCAGAACTTGTTCTTCTATAAAATATATAAAGTTTTGATATACATAAAAAACTAGTTATGAGACTTGTGTACTATACGATTGCTTTGAAAGCAACCTCACATTTGATAGCAACTATCATTGACTCTTATATATTGTCATCACAAAACAACAACAACAACAACAACAACAACAACAATAGACATTGTGACATACTTGAACTTCAAAATACATATAAATATAACTACTGCAAGGTCAAATCAATTTCACATCCATTAATCAAAATATTAGATTTTAATCGATAGAATATACTTGAAATCTAGATGACATTATAAGAAAAAGTTGATAATCTAAGATTATACCTCCATTAGAGAGCTTGAACCAACTTCTAAACAAAGACCCATTGTCAATAAAACTAAAATTCACCACCATCTTATTAAGGCATTGTACTTTAAAATAGTAACCAACTTTCAAATTAGGATGTTATAATAAACAAAGAAATTAAAGTTGGTTTCTATTTTAGAGTATAATTAGGGGTTTTTTATGCATGCCATTGCTCTATATCATCTTGTCTAACTTAAATACTCACCAATGTGTTTGACTATTCTGCATTTAGCATTTTCAATAGTTAAATGATGTCGTTTTCAGAACTATATCAAGGTACTTTGAAAGTATATTGCTCTAATTGGAACTAATTTTGTTTTTTGTATAAAGACCTGTCATAGTCTTATTTAAAAAAAAATTACAATATGTCATTTTCTTATTTCAGCGTTTAATACATAAAATTAATTAATTTTCTAGTAACAGGATAATGTGTTAATTAGATTTTTTTTTTGGAAACGGCAAATGATTAAACGGAAGCCTACTCGCATATTTCAACGAGCACCCCGGGTTCGAGCTCCTTTACAAGGCAAACCCAGCCCCCATAGGGGTTTCCAGGGAAAATTTCTCCACATGTGGCACAAGTTTAAGAGGCACCCACATGTGTTAATTAGATACTTTAAAGTTTAAAGAGGTAATAACAATTTCGAGTAAAAATAGTTGATGTCATAGCAATAAATTTAGTTTTATTGAAGTGTGATGTTTAATTGTTGGATTTGGTTTCAGTTTAGGACTTAAAATATTTAATCAACTTTAATCATGCAAGTTAAAGTGACAGAATGTTGGTGATTTTAGTGTTAATGACATTTTTATGTAATTGAAACTGACATGTGAGCTAAGGGGCTTATCGTTTGCACTCTATTATATGTTTTGGTAAATGCGGAGTGCATGTATATATAAGATTGAATTATAAGTTGATATGGTAGAAATGCAGGGGTCATGGGGGTTGCGCCCCCTTGCAGGGTCCTAAGGGCAGCGCTGCTAGCAGGGTCCAAGGGGCAGAGTCCCAAAAGGTCTTCGGAAATTTGAATTAATTACATTATGGAAAATCCAAATTCTAGTAGGTGATTATGGTAAGACTGATAAATCTTGTTAGTTTTGGTAATCATTGATTATGCCATTAATTTTGAGATTTGCATAACTAATTTAGAAGATTAACCCTAATTTGTACTGTATATATACGACTCCTCTTTTGACTGGTAGAGAGAACCTTTTTCTTCGACACTTCTTCTAAACGAATACTCAGAACTCTGGTGATTTGACTTGTGTTTCTGTACCTAGATACACAAGTGTCCTTTTGGATTATCCTAGACTAGATTTCCTATAACCCAAATATATGGTGGAAATATCAATTTTGAAAGTGAACATATACGATCCATAAGGAATCTGGTTCTCCACCATTACCCTAATATATCCTCCAACAACGAATGTTAAAGACTGTTATTGTACATTTTTTATTTTATATGGAAATAACAATCAAATGTTAAGTTGGGTAGTAAACGAAAAAGGGTTTCAAAGATATTAAGGGAATAACATAGCGAAATCGTAATAAGCCAAAACTATATCTAAAGCACAATGATAACGACAAAAATGGTTTCAAATTTGCTTACTTTTATCTTTTTTTTACCTAATATGTCATTTGTCACGATAACAAAATAATAATATAGATTCATTTTTTACAATTTTCGGGGGGATGGAGGGTATGTTTAAAACATTCTTTAATATGTTTTTATTGTAATATGCTTATTTTACTTGGGACAAAATCTACGTGAAAAATGTTTAAAGTATCTCTGAGTGATACAAAGCCTCAATTCCGGTATTCTAGTAAATTCTACTCTATTTACTTTCTATTTTTGGTTGATCATTGATATTCTGTATTGTATAAGAGTAAACTCCATCTAATTTCAATTTTGGGCAAAATTTTGGATTATTTCCATCAGGACAATTTAATAAAAGAAATGAAAAGTAGGATGCTATAATACACTCATAAATAAAACTAGATTGTTGTTTTTTGCATTTAGCCATTTTTCTTAAGGTGCAATTCTGTTTTTTTAAGTACAATGTCTAAATAAGAAAAAGATGAAAATAACACACAATGTTGTAATAGAAAGACATGAAAGTAGGATGTCATAATATACAAATAAATGAAGGTATGTTACTGTTTCTTGCATTTAGCTTTTCTCCTTATGATGCAATCATGCTTTTTTTTTCAAAGTACAATATCTTAATAAGAACAAAATCTAAAAGTACATGTTGTAATCCAAAAAAAATGAAAATAGGATGCTAGAAAACAAAATCAATGAAAGTACATTAGTATTTTTTACAACTAGCATTCATTTAATCTATAGTGCATAGAAACACCAAAAGAAAAAAAATCGATAAGAAACCATAAAACAAAACTGGATGGACACATCCCTTGGCCTTCTCAATAATTCACAGTCACATCTCTATACTTTCAATTTTCTTCTCAGCATTCTGATCAATTTCAGACCTTATTATTGTAAGGTAGATTTAGAGAGTAATGATCTAAGACATTAAAAACAATTAGGACAATTTCTATGTGATAATTCGATTGATTAAAACATGGCAACCAAATTTCTTCAATGATCGACATTCTAAAATTAACTGCATAAATCAAATAGTGGGTGGATTTCGTATTGGAATAAATGGAGAAATAGGGTTGAAATTGGAATGGATTCATGAAATCCTTCTGTAAAATTGGAATGCAGTAATCAAATTGACGCGTGATTGTTGGATAATCAGAGGGTAAAAGGAAGGATTACAGGGTATGTTTACTATTTGTTTAAACTTCTTATACGTTAGCTGATATACACAATTATTATTAAATAAATAAATCGTGACATTGTCTTATGTGAAATTTTAATATAACTGAAAAAAACACAACATAATGACAAGTGGAAAAAAAATAATTCAAAAATCCCAAAAAATATCATGTGTTAAAAAGAATGAAAAAATGACATGTATCAAAAAGATCTTTGTTTATTTATTAAGTTAGATTTTGAATACAAAATAAATCTTGCAAAAAGAACCAACAAATCCAACACTTCAAATGTCATAATCCCATCACATAACTTGTTTGCAACTCCCAATATTCTTTAGTTTGAATCAATATTTTTTCTCGTTCTTCCATTCGTCTCTTCTTAAATCCATCTTTATACCTACAAATACCTCTATTGTTATAAAAAAAATTTAAATTGTATCTCAAGCAAAAGAAACATTTTTCAGAAATGTCTATAACAAACCACAAAATAATATAACCGAAAACACTAATATATTCCTCGTTTTCTTCCTATGCTTTGTAATCTTTCTTTGCTTCTAGTTTTTGACTAGTGCTTTATTAGTAATATATTCCGTCGTTCTAAAACATGTTACCCATCCATCCCATTTTTGACATATCTATCGTAAAGTAATAAGGAGATACAAGATATTGATTACCTTCGTTGTAAGAGCAAACCTAGTTCAGACATGCAAACTGATTTAGCATACACTCCACTCTACAATAACAAAGATATATAAACCATACCATTAATCTATATTTTGTTACATAATATATATGATCATATATACCCAACAAACATATAATTTCTATAACATCCAAGTTTATCTAACCTCTCGGCAAACTGGACACTTGGAATCTTGATTTGCAAACTTGAACCCTTGAATGATCAATACACCAGCTGCCAAACAAGCACAAGACTTGCAAAAAATGTGTCCACAACTCAAAGAATATGGTTGAAAAACAATGTCCTGAATCAACAATTGACCATTTTATAAAAGATATAATTGGAATTTGCAGTTAATTAATATGTTTATTTTCAAACATTTATACCAAGCAAATAGGACATGTGAGACTATACTCCAGCTTTTCAGAACCTAGAAGTGTCAAAGTCAGTAAAGACTCTTCATCCGAGATATTGAGATCATAAGAGAGTTGACCAAAAAGCTCATCAGAAGTCAAACTGTCTGAACCCTTTAGATTCATATAGAAAGCTACTAATTCAATCAACCATGGTGATTGCATCACATCCAAGTGTTTTGCCTGTAATTTGGACTTAAAGTTCATACCACTTGCAGATTCATGCACCTGTTGTGATAGATAGATAGATAGATAGATAGATAGATAGATATAATATATAATCAAGATTCAAGAAGAAGAAACATGTTTGGTTTTCCAAAATGATATGGGCTTACTTTGTCATATTTCTTGAGAATCTTCCTGAGGGCGATAGCATTCATAATCATAAATTGAATTAGGATCCATCCCTTACGTAGGAGTGCTTCTTGATCATCTTTGAAATAATGAAACAAGCACCATAAGAATCTTCGGATACCAGGAGTAAAATGAAGATGAACAAGTTGCCTGACTCTCAAACTAATATGATCAGCCATCTTCGTAGCTTCAGTCGTTAACTCAGAGAATATCCCTTCACACCCTATTACATCATAAATCCAATAAAACTGTTTCAAATTCATCTTCTACTTCAAATCTTAATTAAGAGTTGAGAATTCATTTCTAATTCTTTGATGGGATAATAATGTCGGAAACTTACGATGGCAGGATTCATATGGAGGAATCTGATTGAGATCATCTTCAGGATTTTCATCCCTACGAGAATCAATGGAAGCTTCAATATGTCGATGATGCCTGCAAAAGTTCAAATCATTCTTGAGCTTCTTGTACTTAAAGTGACACATGTGGTTCTTCGGATCCTTCCCTTTATCTCCCACTAAATAAGCTGTAAACGTCTCTTCGAACCCCATAACTCCCATTCGATTCAATTAGCACCCACCTTATATTATCAAAAAGCACATTGAAATGATCAGCACATTTCTGAACAAGTATTTTTCCTATAAATATTATAATAATCAATTTCTCTACCAAACTTCAATCAATCCATCTTTAACAAAATGTTCTGAGTTGAAAAGCAATTTTGATCTGAGAGGACGACGTACGGTGGAGCAAAGCAGTGATATAAAGGGAAAGATGATCGAAGGTGGTAAATCTTTTTCTCCATAGCCAAAATGTCAATGCTTTACTAACGTGCACACTACGGAGTAAAACTTGTATGTTGATCTGGATATTTTTAAAACACTAAAAAAGGACAGTCTGTAAAAATAAATAAATAAAGTTAAATGGTTTATCCATAAAAATGGCATGCAAAGACCCTCCAAGTCACTTCTGCTGTTCTGCATTCAATGGGAGTGCTTCATGCCAAAAAAGGAAAGGAGAAAGACAGAAAAAGTCACTTCTCGATTCAAAGGGAGTGCTTCATGCCAAAAAAGGAAAGGAGAAAGAGAGAAAGTGGCAAGGAAGGAGAAAAGGGAGAAGAAAGAGTAGCCTGATCAACAATCGGAGTGTCAAGATTGTTTGCCTCTTTGCCATGTCATACACCCGTATGATTTGTGATGCCACATAGGTTTCACATGTATGCAAACAAAAAAAATTAAGAAATAGAAATATTATGTATCATGCACACAATTTTGTCATTTACTTCTTTTAATTAAAATTTTAGGATATTAATTAAGCTAAGAATTATAAATCAAGTTTTTAATAAAAATAACTAAGTTTTTTATGTTTTGTAAAATGGAAAATTGTATAAAAAACATTAAGTTTACGTAAATTTCGATTTTAAAACTATGTTTTTTTTTTCCGTTAAGACACTAAGTTTACAATTTTGTTGCAAACTTAACTAATCAACCAATATGCTTTATATAAGATTATCTACAGAAAAGTCCCAAACTTTTTTCAAAAGTTTCAATAAAGTCCTAAAAGTTTTTTTTTGAACAGAAAAGTCTTAATATTTTGATTTTTTTTGCCTAAATTTACGAAAAAGTCATTTTTATATTTGAGCAGCAAATGATAGATTATATGATTTTTTCAAAATATTGGGATTTTTTTGTTCAAAAAAAAACTTTTAAGACTTTATTGAAACTTTTAAAAAAAGTTTGAGACTTTTCTGTAGATAACCCCATGTTTCTCATAAGAAGACCCTAGAGAAATAATCATTTTTATTTAAAACAACTTTGATAGGCATTATAAATTAACAAAAGTTGAACATATCTTAATTTTATGGATTAAAATGATTAAATATTATTGTATTGTTTCTAATAATAGGAACGACAATATCTTAGAGGATTTACCGAATGGGAATGTAAGCAATGAATAAGTACTCAAATGACCATTGTAGCAGGTTTAAGGCTTCAAAAATCGATTGTAAAACTGATATATATATATATATATATATATATATATATATATATATATATATATATATATATATATATATAACTGACTTATAAAAAAAAACTGAAAAAAAAAGTATAACATTAAAGGGGCAATTAAAATCGATTTGTGGTTTTGTAAAAAGTTGATCAATATATGCTAAAAAAAAAAGGCAACATATTTGTTATAATTATGGGTTTTAGGAAAATGAAAAAAAAAAAAAAAGTGTGTGTCGGTGGCTTAGGAAAAGACGAAAAGTTGTAAAAGCAAGTCCATAAATGGGCTAAGAAGATCCACTAAGACTAGTCGATATGGGCCGCTCAGTGTAGGTGGAGCTCTTTATCGCCGTTATGGCCCATTGAACACCGCCCGCCTTCATATGGTGTTCATATGGTGTTAAGCGACGTTGCCCTCTCAATATTGCTCAATGTCAGTTAAGAAAAGAAGAAACGAATCATTTTTTTTTATTCTTTTTCATTTTTAAAGTGGTGTGGTGGTTAGGGTTGGACCCGAAAATTTTGTTAGTGTAACACAAAAAAATCCTGATAAAATATATAAGATTAATGAACTAATTCACTAACTTTAGGTTTTCAATTTGAACGACTAAATTAAACTAAAACAATAAGATCATTAAAGATTAAAGTAATACTTGTTTCATTCTTGCTAGTGGGAGAAGAAGTCAAGCTTTTACGATTTGTGAAGTCGACATGTCGTAAAGCAAGAGGCAGAAAAACCGTTTTTTTTTTTCTTTCTAATTTGTTGTTGGAGACTTGGAGTATGCTGTTTGCGTTGTTTTTTCAGTAATTGGTTCACAAACATTGAGCAATTGGTTCACTAATGGGCTGTTTAATTGGATTCAATTAGAGTTGCACTACTTTATTTACTAGGTCTAAATGTAAATTAGATAAGATACATAAAATCTATTTTTTTTTTTTTATATCTTATAGTTGAGGGGTAGCACGTTGCCAACCAACTAGTTCCGCCAAAGGTGGTGGTGTGATAGGTATCTCTTAGCAAAAATAAAGTGGTATTGAGAATGATATGGTAAAAAAATAGTGTGGAGAAGGAGACTCATATATACCCACTAGCCTAAGGGGATGATTCAATTACTTTTATATACTATCCCTATGTGATTGGTTAAAAAGACAATAATTTTACCATATAGACATCATGTTGAGTTATTCAATTATTTTTATCCGATAAAATTGGATTAGTTATAAATAATTAACCATATAGATACCCCATTTTACTATATAGATCGACATCCCAATTAATTTTTGAAACAGTTTCATTTAATTCATTAAGGTTAGCATCATCATAGGTAGCTAGATCGTAGCTATGATGTTTAGCTAGGTTAACTAAAGCCTCAAAGGTTTGCCTTAGAATTAGATATGGTTGGGTAATTTACTAGTAAATAGTAACATCACATGGGGAGCATTTGCAATTTCGCATGGATTGGCAATCAGTCTAAATGTCCAATACAATGCACACATCAAAAGGTTAGCAGATGACATATCCACACACTCATCCTACTCATCCACCCACCAAAAGTGAAAAAGATTATTCTATTTGTTCTTTAATTTCTGATACACATGTTGGATCTGCATCTCATGATGCATGTTATAATATATATATATATATATACATATATAGTGAGTGTAAAAACACACACATAAGTAGTAAAGTCTTGAGCAAAGAAATTAAACAGGGGACATTGAGATGGAGATGCAGGAGGAGCTTCAAATAGTCCCGATGATGGTTAAGGATGTGGAGGCACAATTTGTAGAGATCATGGTGCCGCTTTATTCTTATGGATGCGGCAAAAAGATCAAGAAAGCCTTGGCCCATTTCAAAGGTAGGTAATATCGGGTTAGCTACGAATCCATATTATTATTAAACGCATGCAAATATAATGGGCCAAATACGTGGTCACGTTTTTATTGTTTGATTTTGAAGTAATAATTGATCGATATGCGTACAGGTATTTACTCGGTAAATGTGAATTATGATCAGCAAAAGGTGACTGTATGGGGCATTTGCAACAAGAAGGATGTGCTATCCACCATTAGAGCCAAGAGAAAAGGAGCTCGTTTCTGGAAGCAGCAGCAGGATGGCATTAATGGCGCTGGGCTCCAAATCCAATCACACACAGCACCACCCTCTCCTCTTAGTATCATCAAGGGACATACATCTTTCTCCATAAACTGGAAAGCCGCATGGAAGAAGGTCTTCAACAGATCATATTCCTTCTAATTTGCTGTGAATTAACTGATCATGCATGGGAGCCATATATAATGCAAACATTAATTGTTTTTTATTATCGAGGGTAGCAACTAGCAAGCTAGGTACTTGTTTGGATGTTGGATATGTTCCTATATAAGTAATCTTCATAAATTTATAATTAGCATCATTGGAATTGAAGGAGTACAAATGGTTTTTGATAGACAGCGTTAGAAAACGAAACTTACCCACGCCTTGATTTAAACTCAATACCTGTTGATCCATTTGAATGACCAATTATAGAATTTTATCATGTAAACCAAAGAGATGAAATTAGAAGAGCATACCTACAAAAAGGGCGTCTCCAACCTCTAAATCATAAGTTGCAACCACGTGATTTTGGAGGTAAACCGCAAAGATTTATTCAATCTTGGTTTGATGATAATAAATATTTGTTAGAATATAGTATAAAAGAGGATGACGCATTCTGTTTATGTTGTTATCGATTCAAATCAAGTATACCAAATCAAGGTAGATAAGATCATTTTGTGAAATCTGGATTCAAAGCTTGGAATAGGAAATCAGGAATATAAACACAAAGAAGGAACTCCACACACTATTGTTGTCCAAAAGTTTCAAAGTTTGATGAACCAAATACAATCCATCAGGTGTGCTTTTGGGAAACAAACTACTTTAAAAGAAAAAGAATATCATATTCGTTTGAATGCTTCAAATGATTGTGTTAGGTTCCTACTCCAACAAGGGTTAGCATTTTGTTGTCATAACGAGAAGGAAGACTCGAATAATAAAGGTAATGTTACGCCCCGGGATCTAGATCTCGTGACAGGACCTGTACTGGTGCTTTCTACAGCCGTGAGTATTACTAACACCTAATATCCTATTGAGAGGAGACTAGTTTAAACTATTCTAAGAGATTAAAAGCAATTTACTTCAAGCATATTTTTATTTTATAAACAACTACCCTTTTAATAGGGATAAACAAAAGACTTTAATAAGGAAACAAAGATCACCCGAATCAACTCAAGTACTAAATGATCCTAATTACCAAATTTAAAAACTGAAACAAGATAATCTCCAAAAGTAAGATACTTTCCAGAAATTAAAAATACTTATTATCCGTATGATTCATAAAAGGTAACTTTCTTGAACTATTATAGTGGTTAGCTTATCGATGTGATACTGTAGATCGTGTTGTGTTAAAGAATGCCTCAAAAAATGCTCAAATGAAATGCGATGAAATCCAGAAAGATATTGTGCAAGCATGTTCAGATGTAATTTTAAATGTTATTACGGGAGATCTTGGAAA